TACGGTAAGGTATATAGCAGCGGCTAGCGTGGAATTACCGCGTATCCCTCTACAAAATCATTACTACAGTTATACATCGGGAGCCTCGCTTTTAGGGAGTTGCCTTTAAATACTTGTGCATATTATAAAAAACGTTAAATGGCGATCATTTTAGGTGTAACGCCATCACTCACCACATCTCAGCTGTTCATATCTCAAACATTTTGTGTTACATAAAAAATGGTGACACATAACTTAATCAAGAGTATATAATGGAGTTCTCCCATATATACTCTTCGTTTCTATAATGTACGTCGATGTGTTGGCTCAAATTAAAAACCTGACTTCTTCTCACTCAGCTCATTTGACAGCGCCCTTCGCTTACACGGCTGAGTGTAGTACGCTCCAACGTGCGCCTTATCTTCGCCTTCCAGGGTATTCCAGGCTCCTGGCTGCAATTTCAGGGAATTTATGCTCGGCTTTTCGTTACGTATGTATGAAATATATTTATGGCTGGTGGACTTTTGTTTTGTTTACGTATATGAGTATCGTACTATCTTTACTTCCAGGGTATTGACTTGACCTTTGGTTACGTATGTGTTATATATATTTATGGGTGGTGGACAATATTCTGGTTTTGCTACCTTACATAAACGCACTGTACGTTTGTCGTCCCCAGGCAGCGAACGTACGCCTCTTGCCTACCAATTACAAGCCCTGAAGGTCCCATGAGAGCACAGGCATACAACCTGCCATACCTTGAAACTAGACGCTACTCTACCCTACTCGTGCCATCTCAGAGGTCGATAACGGCGCGAGCACCGTGCTGCGCGGGTTCCTGTCGTCATAGCCGTCGCGCCACGGCCGCCCTAACGATGACGATGATGATGATGATGACGGGCTCGCGTGGATAGAGCAGCTTAGCCGGCCAGCAGCCAGTGCTACGCAGCCTTGCGGGTGAGAGAGAGGAGAGAGAGCGCGAACGAGAGAGGAGGAAGCGGCGAAGGAAGAGGAGTGAGCAGATGGAGGGGGATAAGGAGGGGAGAGAGAGGAGGTTTAGGGCAGAAAATGAGGTTAAAGGGGTTTGCCGAGGGACAGACTGTAAAAGGCCAAAGAGTGACTTATTGGGAGACAAGAGGAGCAGAGATAGAGAGAGAGCAGAAAGGAGTGAGAGAGCAGAGCAGAGAGAGAGGAGCAGATGAGAGAGGAGAGAGAGAGAGAGAGAGAGAGAGAGAAGAGAGAGAGAGAGAGAGAGAGAGAGAGAGAGGAAGAGAGAGAGAGCGAGAGAGATAGAAGGAGAGAGAGAGGAGAAGAGAGAGAGAGAGAGTAGAGGAAGAGAGAGAGAGAGGAGAGAGAGAAGAGGAGACGGACGAGAGAGAGCAGACTCGATGATGAGAGCGGAGAGAGTGATGATGAGAGACGAGAGACAGCAGACGTAGAGAGAAGAGTGAGGAGAGGAGTTAGAGAGGCAGAGAGGAGACGAGAGAAGTGATGAGTAGGAGAGAGAGAGAGATGAGAGAGAGTGAGAGAGAGTCGAGAGAGAGAGAGAGCAGAGAGAGAGAGAGAGACCCGGAGGAAGAGAAGATTGAGAGAGAGAGAAAGATAGAGTGAGAGAGAGACGACGAGAGAGAGAGAGATGAGCAGAGACGAGAGAGAGAGAAAGAGAGAGAGAGAGAGCAGATTTAGAGAGAGTGAGAGAGAGAGAAGAGAGTGCGGGAGCGGGACAGAGAGGGAGATGTGTCATTTTATTCGTCTTCTTCTTCTTCTTTTTCTTTTTTCTTCTTCTTTTTCAACTTCTACTTTGTTTCTTGTTCTTTGCCATCATCATCATCATCTGTTTATTCTTTTTTTCTCATCTTTTTTTCTCATCATTAGTAACCTTAACAATATCAATCAGTTTACTAATGATATCACAGTATCTCGTCCAATTATGATCTATTGTATACTGTTAATACGTGTCCTATGCCGTTATTAAAGCTTTGTTAAAAAAGGCAAAATTCAAATTTAAAAAAAATAACGCCTGTAAATTAGTTTGAAAACTTAAATAGACGTAAATATAAACTGTGTTCGTTTACCTTGTGTGTGGCCCTTTGCACCCTTGCTTATTATTTTGCTAGTAAAAACAACCACAGCACTAACCAATTTCACGTTTGATTACGTATTTTAACCGATATTTTTCAAATGATTTTTTGTCTATTGTAGATGGATAGTGATGCCTACAGCACAGTAAGAAGTCTCAGGAGTCATCCGTACAGTATTACCCACAAGCAACACCAGATCTTTCCCGACACGCACCTATGATGCATTGACGAGAGCATTAGTTACAGTGCACTCGCAAAAAAACACGACCAAGTTCAAAAATACCCTGCAGCACTGACTTATTTTTTTCTCTTCCTCCTTTTCTTCGTCGTCTTCTGTCTCTTTTTCATTTTCTTCTTCTACTTCTATGTCTATATCTTTAGGTTTATTGCAGAGACCTATTTTCAGTCATCTGTATCAATAATTTTAAAATTTTAATCTCAAAGTCAAAAGTGCTTCATAAGTAAGTCTAGCAACATATGAGTGGACAGGGTATGGTGTAAGTGTATATTGATATTAAACAGTGCCACACTAATATGTGTGAGTGTGAGAGCTTACAAACACCAGGTAAAGGGTACATGAGTTTTCCATGAGAAAGGGATTAAACAGATGAGGTAAAATCATTTGGAGATTTTAATTGTCATGTTTGTACTCTGCTTCCATTTTTAACATTAACTGCAGCTTTGTTGGTTAATTTTTAATCGTGTAATTCTCATATATATAACCTTAAATCGATAAAAGAAGCCAGAAATTTCTAGAAAGGATTTTACCCCATCAGGTTTATTAATATTTTGGGTTCTGATTGACAGTGAGTTACAGAGAAAAAATCATTAGAATGAATCGTTAATTAAACCGCACGATTTTCTCACTTACATGAATTACTAGATGAAAACCAATCTATCTGTATAGTTTGATTAGGTTGTAAGCTGCTGTTTTCTATTTTTTGTCAACTTATGGTATTTGCAAAATATTGTAGTCACTTTAACATATACGTCATTTAACTTTCCACTGTCGCTTCAGAAGCAGATTTTTGAATACTTTTAATTTTAGTACGATGATATTTACTTAATTTTTAAGTGCTTGTTGTGTTTCCATAGAAACAAAAGCGATCATTATTGCATACGTGTACATTGTGACTGTTTTGTGTCCTAAGCTTACTTGTCATATTTATAGAATCACTAGGACATTATGTTACGGATCTGGATCATGAAGATAATTGTCACGGAAATATTTATTGTGCTCGATTGCACCAGACTAAGATTTAGGCTGTCAGACTTATCTTCCCAAATGATCATGCGAGTTCTTTATACCGTAATCATTTGTATTTTTTGTCGTAAACAATTAACTTAATAGAACATCTGTTCTGATACGAAACCTACATTGTATTTACGTGTGATATGATCCAGTATTCTCTAACAAATTATTTAACAAACAGTTTCCCCTTCGTTCCTTTTCGTCGTTTGCTCGCACGCATAGCTGTTATATAAGGTTATAGTTATTAGCTCTCCTCCGGGGGATTGGTATCTGCACCCAGCTCAGACGGCTGCGGATATCCATGAGCCATATATCATATATATTATATTATATGTATCCTGAGTTTATGGAAAGTATACTATATACAAGAAGTGATGCGACTTGTTTCCCATATATAGAAATTCTAAATTTTCTTTTATCGACCTTTTGGATATAACTTATATGGTAAATATTAGCGTGAACGAAGTTAGCATTGACTGGATGAGATTGCCGGTGTAATCCATGTGACAATTTCTAGAAGGCACAGCTAGGATGCGACTGCCGAAATAATTAGCACAACCACGTGTACGTAAGCAATATCTCACATGAGGAGTTATATTTTGTAATGAATATGCATTTAATATGGTTATGGGGTATCTCAGCATAGATTTCTAGAATTAATTTGTATCCGTGGAGCTGTGCATATAATTAGGAGAGCGCCCTAGCCTGGATGGAGCAAAAATCCCTACTTTATCCCCTCCCGTCCTCGCCGTTGACTGCCAAGAGAATTTTCTTCGACCGAAATCGGACGTTCAATCTGGAGCCAGACGACCGGACCCACTGCACGAGTGTGGTCAAAATGAATTTACAATATTAACTTTGCTCGCAGCATCGCGCCACGATACCCACCTATGCTAATATTCATGAAAAGGGCGCACGGACGTCGGTCGCCGTTGACTGGCAAGATAATTTTCTTCGGCCGAAATCATACGTTCAAACTAGAGCCAGGCGGGCCCACGGCAGGTGTGTACGGTAAAATGCAATCTACAATATTAACTTTGCTTCGCAGCATCGCGCCACGATTCCCACCTATGACTCCTCTGGTGAGATATCGCGCATGCTCTAACACAGTATACGGTAGCCAAATTGTGTGCCGACTGGTATATGCAGCGGGCACCTTACATGCAAGGAACTTCCTATTTCTTAAGAGCGGTCAACTGATGCGGTTTTCTCGTGTAAATCAAAGCTTGGATGCCTCATATTCATATTAAATGCATAATTTTCGCCAAATATTAGTCATTTTGGGAGATATTGCGAGGGGCCGACGTTAAGCATTTCAAAAGGATTATGCCATGCATCGCATATCGCATATCGCATATCTAATATTTAAAGTAAATAGTAATATATAAAGTAAATCGGTCGTTGTTTCCTGTTATTTGTTGTCTTTGACTTCCCTCTCGTTTCTCACAGTTACTCTACACAAATTCTGTGCGTGTATAATAATATAGTGCGAAATTCGCGTCTACAATGTAGGTATACTAGCGGCGAATGGGTGCATGGTAAGGTGTAGTGTTCTCCCTAAACGCACCCGTCCTCCGCTTTTCTATACGCATAC